CTCACAAATGGGCTCTGAAAATGTATTTCTGCAGAAATTACTGGCAGAATTATTTTTTTCCGCAGAAATTTCTGGCAGATTTTTTTTTTACCGCAGAAATTTCTGGCAGAATTTTTTTTTCCCGCAGAAATTTTCATTTCACTACCAGAATTGTTTTAATTGAAAATGATTAGACACCATCTTTGGATAATTCAATATGGACTTTCTTCAAATGATGTTGTTTTCTCCTGTAAACAACTTCAAGTGGTAGGGGAAATGGTTCCCAGAAGTAGATCGCCGCACAAATCTTACAAGGCATATGTTAACATCTTATCAAGACGAAATGAAAATAAAAATAATTTGATGATTTCTTTATACATCGTTTATTCACACTCTGTATTACATGAGTTTCATTGCGCTAAGTTGCAGTCATTTCATCTCTGACATGAGTCCCGTTGTCCCTTTGGTATGGTTTATGTATCTCTATTGTTTGTATAGTCACTCGAACTGTAAAATTGAACACTGAATTGTATATGGCAGATGTGTACTCTTGAAACCACAATGAAGCTGTTTTTCAAACAGTCTTGCAATAATCGAATCAGGATTAGGTGTCTTCCCCTTAAGACAACATTTGGTATTACAGTGAAAATCCTTTGATGTTTCGCCGAGGTAGACTCATGTTGTTTTAATGGATTAGTGAGGTGGGTTATACTATAAACTGAACTGCATAACGAAATCGGTGTTCATTTTCATGATATCAACTCACACTGTAATATGAACATGATATCAACTCACTGGTTGTTGATTTCCATTGGTATCAACTCACTGCTTATTGACTAACATTGATTGATTTCAGCTCACTGCTTATTGACTGACATTGATTGATTTCAACTCACGACTAACTGATTGCCTTTGACACTGATTTTAAATCACTAATTATTTGTTTGCTTATTGATTGACATTGATTTATTTCAACTCACTACTACTGATTGCCTTTTACACTGATTTTAATTCACTATATTATTTGTTGATATTTACTCACTAGTTATTATGGGTATATATCCTGCTTATCCGCAATCCAATGCATCACTTTCGAAATGGCAAATCAGCAGTTCGAGTGCAAGTTCATTCCAACTTCACGTGGAGGAAGGTGTCTCTGTATAGATAGGATACATGTTTAGAGTGAGCCGCAAACACAATGCTGCATCGCGGATATCATGGATGTGCCTAGATAAGAACTGCACTTAAACTATTTCTACAGTTGAATGATGACATTCAAATGTATATAAATTATTTGTTATCGATAAACTTGTCACGGATAAAAATGTCATATGTATTTTAAGGGGTGTAAATAATGGTTCGTGGGAGTATTTCATTTATTTACCGGTTAACAATTTAGTATCATCCATCTGCTTAAAATCACACAGAACCTCCGTTGTTCTCCAGAGGCAGTCGACTTGAAAATCCTTGCATGCTCCACTGATTTGTTGTTTTAAACATCACAGTTGTCGTCTTCCCGGGAATGAACTAACAGAACGAATCTTCCATAGGTAGTAGGTGAGTGTTTAGGTCAAGGGTTCTGATTACAGTATTATAATGTTGTGAACTGAGACAGGGATGCATGTATATACATATTGTATAAAACTTGAAATTTTTCACTTCTTCAAATCCTGCATTATGTTGTGTAATAACGTAATGCGGGTAGAAAACATGTGTTCTAGACAGCAATATTAAACGATCCCGACAAATACCATCCTGTGTAAATACTCGTAATGGCTAATTATTTGGGAGAGTGTGTATTTGACCGTCCTTTCACCTGTATCAGATAATTTATGAGACACCTGCGTGTGGGCCACTTCTTCTTTATTCTAGGTAATTAGCGATCAACTGATCTGGATCTGATCTTGTTGGGTTTGGGGTATTTGCATCAGAATGACAATAACTGATTCATGATCAGGGAACTAAAACTATATACACTTCTGTTATTACCTCAAAGACCGGTTTGAGGAATTTAAGCAATTCATATCATCATGACATTAGATGTTTTGGTTCAGTTCTGTGTTGGACCTATTCGATACACTATGTTTCAGGTGTACGAGGTCAGATAAAGTAGGTTGTATATATATATACAAATTATACAACAACATCATGAACAGCAATTATGATTGTATGTTTCATTGGCATTCTAGCATGCGGCTTCTTAATAGCAACTTCTTGTTCTTTGCATAAAGCAACGTGTGACGAGCGCTGTGAATGTAGTGACTGACGAAGGGTACTACATACCATAGCCTACGAAGAGCTGACCAAGCTATAGACTTCAATCAGCACCCGTTTTTTATGACTGTTTTTACAACTTAATCCGTCCTGCTTATCGGCTTCATTGCTGTGCTATTTATTGTTCTTACTTCCCACCTGGCCTCGTCCAATTTTCTACCCCTTGTTATTCAAGTACACGATGTTTGTCACAGCATTCGATCATTCTAATCACTTGGTTTTTGTCACCGTTAGCTTGAACATGGTGTGAGAACCTACACAGAAACGTTGCTCTATGCAATTAACAAGAAGTTGCTATCAAAAAGACCGTATGCTTTTATTAGCAATTTTGCTGTCGCATTCCTGGGAAATTAGAGACAATTGTGAATGTCGAGTCACCACTGATTTTTTGAAATGACGTTAGTCACCCAGGATTCCTACAAAATATCGTGTTAAATTGTTTGAAAATATACCAGTCCTAATGATTCATTCATCCACATCTCTTGTTTACTTAACACTGCCGTTGCAATAAACAACCTATACATTGGATCAGTAAAAGAGCAAAACTTGCTTATGAAAATATCTCTTCAGGTAATGTGTTGAAACGGCTGGTTTGTGCACATAGATAGTGCTAAACATAATGTACCATTGCACAAATGAAATGCATAAAGTCAGTATTTTGAAGTCAGTGGTCCAACAAACTATAATGTCTACGTTCTATCGAAAAGGTATCAAAATTTTCTTAGATACAATGGTGAATGTTGGTGGTCAAGGTGAAGTAGTGCGGCAGTGTTGTATACGTGCGCAGTGAAGCGCAATGAAATCAAACGCATTTTCAATCCAAAAATTTCCAATTGCCTATGTGGAAAATTCCAAAGTCAGCGTCAAAATCCATGGAGTTGTTGTTATGATCCGCCATCATTGTGGTCAAACGGAAGTAGTTCTCACAATAAGATTTGTTAATGCGCAATGAAGCGGCCTTAAAATCAGATGACCGTCAATCCAGAATTGATGCCGTCTGATTTTCCTGAACAACCAATCAGAATCTAGTAATTTCTTGATTCATGGTAGAATCTCATTTATAAAGGTTTAATATATACCAATTTTTCATCGTTATAAAATGGGCAAAACCTGTATGTAAAATGTGTATTTTTTTAGTATGATTGTTTTTAATATGAGTGAAAACAGTATATCATAATACATAGAGAATCTCACCCAAGTGTCTACTGATATCAATTATATCAACACGAGTTGATAGAGTTACAAATATCCGAGGCTTGCCGAGGATATTTTTACCTATATCAACGAGTGTTGATATAATTGATATCAGTAGACACGAGGGTGAGATTCTATTTATCATCAAAAATCATTCTTCATTAGTTTTCAATGAAAAATGTACATCTCTCAACACTGTACTACCATTAGACTTGCAGTGCAGCGATGTCATAGCATTGTGATGTCATCAAGTTGATGATGTCATAGCATTGTCAGGGCATTGTACAAAATCTACTGTCAAAACAGGAGATATCATATGATCTTACACAAGCGATATCTCCTGTGGAACACACTTTTGGATGATAAACTTAAGTATATCAGTACAACCGAGCTGAAAAGGGCTTGGATTGTTCGGCAGTTAAAGATAAAACCTCTTATGTCCTTATGGATTTGGTGAAATTTAGGAACCGGGAATCTGTTTTCTGCATTCAATCATTTTTATCAGCTTTCAGAACACGATGTTCTGATATTGATAATCAGTTTCTCGCGAATCGCTTCACTGTATTTTTATAAAACCATTAAGTTATTCAATAAATATGAAAACTATTTAAATGCTGTGAATATTGATGCATTTTCACAGGTTCGTACATCCAGTAGTCGTCTCATGATATCACGGGGTACAAAATTAGGCATACCTAAAAGTGAAAGACTTTGCCCATTTTGTATCATCCCAAATGTCGAAACAGAATACCATGTCTATCTAGTGTGTCCGTTTTCTAATGACCTTTGAAGAAATTTCCTGCCAAGTTATTATTACAAATTTCCCAATTTGTGTAAATGTAAACTTTTATTTACCACTATAAATACTTCCATGATTAATAATCTTGCCAAGTTTACTTTCTTTGCTCTTAAAATGAGGAACAAGCAATTGTCCATTACATAACCTACCCATTTTATATTTACATGTATATTGTACCAGATATGACTTGTTGCACTCAAACATTGCTACATGTACTGGTAGCGAAATGTCAACATCTTTGTCAGTCTACGCATTGTAAAATGGGCCTGAGGACTTATTTACCGAAATAAACACCAACTACTTTAATATGATTCTAATTATATAATTGTTTTAACGTCCATTAAGACGAATGTATACGGGAGAAAGAACCACTGTATTATTATTAGTGAGAAAGTTGAGTTTTTTGTTCGGTGGATTTATCTCCACCATGACATAACAGCTTGTTTGGGGAGGATGTGTCGATTTTACTCCTGTCACAGATATTTACTTTGCCGTCCACTGGCAGTATGATGCTGCGTTTACCCACTCACCCCTTAACTCATAGCATAACCCACCTGTCAACGCCTTTTCATAAGTTCTGTTTGTCAAGCTAGATAACATGACTGATGACACCTTTCTCTAATGCATATTTCAACCATCATATTCAGCTGTATTTGTCCCGGACCTACCCACCTCTGTAGCAAGGCATAAAAGCTGAGTTCTCGGTCCCCCTGCACACACGGCGTATTGTATTGCTCAGTTGAAGTCCACTGCCATGCAAGTGAAACTCATGTCTGCCCTTCTGTGCCTTGTGGCCACCATGTATGCAGGTAACTATTTTCTAAATTACTTCTATTTGAGTGTAAATCTTAAGCATGTAAGCCCTAAAGGACCAGATCCGTGAAGATCCGGGTTAGAATTGGTCTTCAGGTACCCATGTTTGTCGTTAGAGGCGACAAACGTGATCGAGTGGTCAGGCTCGCTGACTTGGTTGACACATGTCATCGTATTCCAATTGCGTAGATTGATGCTCATGCTGTTGATCACTGGGTTGTCTGGTCAAGACTCGATTGTTTACAGACCACCACCATATAGCTGGAAGACGGCTATGTGCGGTGATAAACAACAACCAACTAACCATGTTGAGTGTGTGATGAGCTCACGTCAAATACCCGGGTTCGAATCCCCACATGGGTACAATTTGTGAAGCCCATTTCTGGTGTCCCCCACCGTGATGTTGCTGGAATATTGCTTAAAGCGGCGTAAAACCTAATTCATTCAGTCAGTCAGTATGATGAGCACTTTAATCAATTTAGAGACCTACCCAACGTAGTAGTTACTTTCACTTTTCAGCTTCACATGTCAATTGCAGGTAACTATTTTCTTAATAACATACAATATCAATATAAATCGTAACCACGTAAATTCTCAATGACCATGACATCCACGTTCAGTGTATGACAAGCACTGCCAGACTATTTAATGAAAAAACCTTCCACAAGTATTACTACATTATAAATATTTGTTATCAGCCAGTTCTGAAAATAAGCCTTGACAATAAAGGTAGCAAGATTAAAGAAACAGTTTGGTTTTCCCAAACCTCATGCCCATGGCATTATTAAGAAGTGATCGCCATTGATCTTTCTGCTGAAAAAGATACAATAATGGGAATGTATAGAGGATACTAAACGACCTTCCGTGTAATACCATTTGTATTAAACGAGTTAATCATTTGGTATCAAACGAGCGAAAGCGAAATGGGCTTCAGATATTGTGCCCATGTGGGTAATCGAACCCGGGTCTTCAGCGTGACGAGCGAACGCTTTAACTATCAGGCTACCCCACCGCCCCATAAACTGATAGAAACTGCCTAGAGTGTGATGACTCTCAGCTTTCCGGTAGTCAAGCAAGGTCTAATACCATTGTGACAGAGGTATTAGCATTGCGGCGTCATAACTGTAAACCATTATAACGTCATACGTCTAGCGGTATTACACTAGTGTAATATCCCGGTAAAAATATTACACTGCAGTATCTTCCACGGGCGAGTAATAAAATATGATTCTTGGTCACAAGTTGTCTTAATTAAAGTTTCAAGTAGGACATCCTAAATGTTATTTGGCAGACGTGTGGAGGACACATACAAACTTGACGCATTAGGGACAAACATTGGGTCCTATACAATTTCCCATTTGACAATAAGTTCCTGGTGTCATTAGGTCTGTTGTTTCAGAGATGATTATGAAACAGTCCGAATCGTACAAGCTATTGTCAAAGTTTTGTTTTTGTACATATGGAAAGGGCTTTCTGGCATATTATATCATCCATTCATAAAACAACCCTTTAAGGGTTTATTTCCTTGTTATCACATGCATGGAACTTTCAGAGACAAAGCTGTCCTGCATCAGAATGTCCTGCATCCAATCTTTCTATTTCAAAACATGAACTTTTTTGTTTCCAAGTGATGCAATTTAAAATTGACGTTATTTGTTATCAGGATGCCCCTTAGGATTTCATAAACACAGAAGGTCCTGCTACTGGTTGTCAAACGTGAAAAGTTCGTTTCCAGAAGCAGTTGTAAGTGTTTTTGTCATGAGTGTTTTCTTTTCACGAATAAATATACACTTAAAGGAATTGTAACCTTGACAAAATGCATCGTACTGAAACATACCAGGTACCTGTGAATGGTAAGAATTGTAAAACATATATTCCTTCTGGACTTAACGCAATTCAGTCTTTGACAAAAACAAAATGTTCGTTGTCACCCAGGAATGAACTGCTTTATCTGCTTTCTGTTTGAATAATGGAATATTCTTTTCAGGCCTACTGTCTTTACTTGGAGAGCCACCTTGCAACAATATCAAACAGAGATGAAGATTCGTTCCTGAAGGGATATGCTCTACGTCATGGCAGAGGTGAGATTTGATTTTGACATTTTGCTTCAAACACATACTCACAGGCTAACGTTATTGTAGTGCGCTGTTCCTATTTACTGTTGGGGCAACTGTCTTTCCATCTAACAACGTTTCACTGACGACAGTAAACGTTTAACTCTGATTCTGTTTGTTTCTGTATAGCAATAACATTTGCCTTTGACTTTATTTACCTTTAACCGAAAAAAATTATTTCCTGAGACTCCATTCGGTGTGGGTCTGTTGCCTGAGATTTGTTTACTTCCGGGCATATGTCCTGACTTCGCACGAGAATGGATGGCACAATTATTGAAAGCTTTAAATGGGAATAAAATCAGTTTAGTGATACGCAAGGTACTTTACAGAGGTCAACTGAATTGTGCAGTTTATTCAACGGTCAAAGTGATGGAAGCGTTTGTCAGACCGAAACCGAGACGAGCCGGGTCGCCATTTTGTTATGATTTACTGACACACCTTCCTTATATCTTATATATAGGTCATACTTATAAATATATCAGAGTTGGGCGCCTATGGTGGTATCGACCAATTGAAAAAGCAAACGTTGGGTTGAATATTGTGATTCGTTTTTGCCTGGAAAAGAGGAAATCCTCATGCCACGACAGAGTGCGCCAATCGAAACATCCTTGAAGCTGGGGTGTCGCAGTCTGCCGTTGCCCGACATTTCAACGTTCATCAGAGCACCGAATCTGGCCTTTGGGATCGTTTCCTGCAGACCAAATTCCGCCAAAGATGCCACGAAAAGCGGCCGTTACCACCCAAGACCAGGACTGCTCTATCTGGGTTGCTCTGTCATTGTCTTGCCACAGAAATGGAGACTGCTCAACGCATCCCGCGTTCGAGAAGAATTTCATACCAAACTGTCAGGAATCGATAGCGTGAGTTGGGATTCGACCAAGAACGCCAGTTGTCGCCCCTGTTTTTTGAGAGATTTCCATTGGCCCAATCGCATGCGGTGATGTCGTACAGTCAGGAGAACCAAAGAAACTGGAGGCGAGTCTGGTTCAGTGATGAATCGCGATTTCGTCTTCACCGGCGAAATGGAAGCGTGTTTACCGTGGGAGAAATAAACGTTTTGCCCCTAATTGCATTCGACAGGTCGACAAATTCGGTGAAGAGTGTGTCCTGGTGTAGGGTCCATTATCCAGCACAGAGTTAACAGCAAATCGGTACATCAAACGAAGTCCTTTACTTCACATGCTTCCGATTATGGACTAACAGAAGGAGTTGTTCCAGCATGACAACACTACTTCACATAGAGCACGCGTCACGGTCCACTACCTTGCCAATTCTAACCGATCACCAGATCTAAACCCGATTGAACACCTATGGGATGAACTCGATCGACGTGTACGTCAACGTCAAAACATGCCTCAGACACTTCCACAACTTGCCATCACATTGGAGGAAAAGTGGGGGAAGAATTCCGCAAGAGCAACATTGTATCCAGTCTGTGCCGAGATGGTGCCAAGCAGTAATTACTGCCAAACGTGGCCATACAAAGTATTAACTTTGACGCCATCTTGTGGACTCAAGTAAACAGAAACACAACAACAAAGGCTGCTGCTATGTTGGCGAACTCTATGTCTACCCTTCACCTTTTCACCAAAGCGATTTCTGAATTTCTGACAGTTTGTTCAGCTATCCTTCCATCAAACATATCCCAACTAGTGGATGTTGCAGTAGCAAATCTGTTCCGAAGATGACGTAATCTCGTATTGCTTGATCTTCCCGGAGTGACGTCACACGCTGACGCTCCCGGCATCGGGTTGTCGGCAACAATTTCGGTTAGATGCACTCTCAAACTAAGATTAAAATTGTTTGTCGTGAGCAATTAAGGCTCTTACAACAGCGACAACAGACTGACCAGCATCAAGCCTCCCCATAGCACGTTGACATTCTTGATTTGAAAGGCGTGGCATTTCCAAACAAGTATTAATTGAACAATTCTAGCTTGCATGCAATGTGCGTGTTCAGTTTGAGCAAATATGCACCGAATGACCTCATGAATTTGCTTTTCGCACGTGTATTTCGTGTTTTTCATTTTGATTACAAAGATTACAAAGTCAACGTTTAACCTTTGCGCGTGAACTTAAAATTTCACAAAATTATAACATTCACACTGTTTACTACTGTTTAATATGCTTGTAAATTTATTTAAACAAAAAATAAGAAAAATGTCGACATTTATCTGTGTCATGTTTTCAATGTTGCTGAATATGATACTGCCAAACGTTACATAACGATCTATACAATGCATATCGTGGTATTGATACTTAAATTCCACCAGCTGTTGTCTTTTGCAGCTCAGAGATACCGGCTTGGTGCCACAGATCTGAACTTAGAGGGGAGATGGATGTGGGAAGGACAACGTCGCATGTATTACAGGCACTGGTCTCCAGGAAATCCTAGTAATTCGGGTGGTCAAGAACATTGTCTGGAGCTGGAGAACAAACATGGAAAATATGTTTGGAATGATAACAGATGTGACGGTCCATTACATTTTATTTGTGAAAAGGAACTAAAATGATTGTTCACACATCAACAGATTGCATTAGGTGAAGTAAAGTGCTAAGCACATTTGCCTTGTGATGTTGTTTTTTCTTTATTGAGTTTAGTCACGCATCTGTGTATCTAAATCCTAGTTGGTGTTTGGCAGGTGAGTGAATATGGCCTTCGTCGCCTACCTCAGCAATATCCGTTAACTAGGCTTCCCTCCTTTAACCTATGTAGGGTATCGAATCTTTGATTTTCGTGTGTTGTGTTTTTCATTTGGTTTGTTCTTTCAGACGTTTTCAGAAGTTCGTGTACCTAAAACGCATGTGTTAATTGACGAAACAAGGTAAAACTTGCAACATAACAATTACAGGTGATTGGAATCCAGAGAACATTATTTCATTATATTCAATTGCAAAGTTAAGTAAACCCACTCGTAGTTTGTAGAAGCTGATGTTTGATCTCAAACCTAACCCTTTGAAGCAAATCTAAAATTCGCAACATTATAATATGTCTAGGCTTTATGTTTTAATGTATCTTCTGAGCTTTACGATTAGGATCATGCTATAACAGTATGTATTAGTCAGCTCCTATGACTTATACTATGATATTCCTTAACTTGGTCTATATTGGGAAACTTGAGAGAAGAGATCATTGTCGTCTCCCATTATACAAGAAACTCCCCTCCGTGAGGATACAGTCTATGAGTTAATCACCTCCTCATTGGTTTGATGATGAGGCCTCGTCTGGAGAGCAGAATGTCAGTGGTTTGATTCCAAGCTAAAATATGTGTAAAGTCCGTGTTCGTTGTTTCACAGCCTGAAGCGTAAAGAAAGATGGCATGAACAGTATACAGTGTCAAGGTCTGGAATAACCGACATTACATCACACTTTTACATGTACCCTCACACACATACACATATAAGTACGTGTCTTCATATGGGCACGAATGTTAACACTGCATCAGATACCACTTTACATCACACTCAATACTTTTTGTACTGAGTAATGAATCCATTAAATAGTCCTGAGTTTTGTGAAGACATGTGCCTTCTGCGGTAAGTTTTCCAGGGATTATGACAAGCATATCAAAATTATGAGAAGTTCTGATTAATTTCGTATGAAACCAATTGTAATTGCAAAACAATTCGGGCGTTGACCTGCGTCAGGCAAATCGATTATTTCATTGATGCGTGAATTTGGCGTCATCACTGATTATCAGTGGCCATTGTCACGGCTCCTTTGCCACTTCTACCAGCGTTTAACAAGAAGTTCTGAATCGTGTGAAGCCAATTGTTATTGCAAAACCATCATGTTGGAATTGAAAATGTATAAGTCAAACCAATTTGTGTCTAGTTATGTCGAGCATATCATTATTTCATACCCTTGAAACATACGCATGGTGTTATCCGTGATTTTCAGTGGTCATTTTCACCGCAATTTGCCTCTAATGCCAGCTGGAATCTATTTAGCAAATGACTGAGACTCTTTCATTTTGTGGCGATGACGTTTGTATCATTCAAACATATGCTAATCGTGATTATGAAATATTTTTTAATAGGAAATTGCTTGGGATGTTGAAACATTAATGTTTGGAAAGTTACTGTTGAACATGACATGTCAGCGCTAAAGAATAACCAGTTTCGACTTTTTACACAAACAAATTCCTTTCGTTGTAAAGAGAACAATAGCTGTGAAAGAATGAATCAGTGAGAATCAGTGATGTCACCAGGTATTTGGGGAAAAGGGTAGCATGTCCTGCTCTACCTGTACGTGTTCATATCAGCCATGTTGGTTGTCAAGTGAAACTATTGCGGCAGTTTTGTAAACGTGCGCATTGAAGCGGTCATAAAATCAGTCGCATTTTAAATCAAAATGATTGTGTCTATTTCTTTCATTGTCCAGCCGATTCGAGTATTTCTCACATTCATGGTATATCCCGAATGGTGTTAACTCGAATATTCGGTGGAAAGAGTTCCTGACTCTACCAGCTACAAAAGTTATGAACTGGTGTCACCCGTGAAGATCGGGGTTAGAATTCAGCAACCAGAGGCTTGTCCACACACACTGCGCAAAACATTCGAGAGACACTGCCACAATCTCAATGGTTTCTGTTCATGTCGATATATAACTGTGTTTATATTCTGTTGGTTAGATAATATCACTGTTTGGTGTCTTGCTAATTTCAGATCTAAAGCTGTGATATTCTACTTATTTTAGCGTCCTCTGGTGACAGGTTCAAAATGTTTACATGTTGTTTTATTAACAGATTTGCTTCATAGTCACGATATGGCTGCAATACTGCCAGTGGTACTTTAAATATTAACTGCCGATGTGACTTTACTAAACTAATGAGGATTATAAGACCAAATATAAAGACGTACATTGACTAGTATCTACATACTGGTGAGTGGACGTTAACCACGTGAATGTAGCAAGAAATTTATCGCACAGTATTGTCACTTCGACCCCCACCTCGATTCCGTGGAAGAAATCGTTATGTTACAGGTTGTGTCATGCAAAATCCTTTTGGTCATGATTCAAATACATATTTAACTACGAGTAGAAAGTAGCTCTGATTTCTAACTCGATGAAAACAAACCATAATCTCATTAATTCTTTAACAGACTTTAGCCCGTGACGTCATAATTTAAAAAAAATAGTGGCGCCCTGTCGCGAACATCCGCCAGTCTGAACATAAATGCTATTTAGGTTTGTTTTCACCGAGTTACAAAATCAAAACTACTTTCTACTGGTAGTAAAATATGTATTTAACTGATGGCCAATAGGATTTTGCATGACATAGCTTATAACATAACAATTTCTCTTGTGGAAGCGAGGTGGGTGTCAATATAATCCTACTTACAATATTATTGTCATTGTCACCTCGCTTCCGAGGAAGAAATCGTTATGTTACAAGTTGTGGCCTGGAAAATCTTTTTGGTCATCAATCATATACATATTTTACTACAATTAGTAAGTAGTTTTGATTCTTTAACTTCCGTAAAGCGATCTGAACACAAGTAAGATATCGTTCCAGGCTTCCACAACTCTCGCTTCGCACTCACAAACATAACCCATTTAGCACGAACTACGGGTCCGGTGGAAATCTGTGCATGGTGACACCATCACCCGACCCCAAGGAGCAATTGACGGCAACGCAACGATTCGGCATGTCTTCGCCGACGTCAAGAAATCAGCAAGATGACGAGTTTGGTACACACAACTAACTGAAATCCTTCCTCACATGACGTCACTTCCGATTTGCTGCACAGTGCTGTGGCGACAGAGTTACGTAACCTCTCTGTGGTTTCGTTGGCGGGCGAGAGTGAAGCAGGCGACTTTTTGGCAACTTGAAATCGCTCGGTATTAATTAACCACACGTTTTTAAAGAATGAATTTGGTGTTCCGCTTAAGACTAATCACAAGTCTTTCATATGTAATGGTTAAAAGAGTACAGAAACCAAAAGTTTATTTGTTCTTTAACTCACTCAGTCGACTCGTGCAGGTTCTGCATCAGCGTTCTTCAATGAAGAGCATATGTTTCCATGTCTAATCCCTAATCTATGCCGATTCTACCATGAATGTGAGAAATACTCGACTCGCCTGGACAATGAAAGAAATAGACACAATCATTTTGATTTAAAATGCGACTGATTTTATGACCGCTTTAATGCGCACGTTTACAAAACTGCCGCAATAGTTTCACTTGACAACCAACATGGCTGATATGAACACGTACAGGTAGAGCAGGACATGCTACCCTTTTCCCCAAATACCTGGTGACATCACTGATTCTCACTGATTCATTCTTTCACAGCTATTGTTCTCTTTACAACGAAAGGAATTTGTTTGTGTAAAAAGTCGAAACTGGTTATTCTTTAGTGCTGACATGTCATGTTCAACAGTAACTTTCCAAACATTAATGTTTCAACATCCCAAGCAATTTCCTATTAAAAAATATTTCATAATCACGATTAGTATATGTTTGAATGATACAAACGTCATCGCCACAAAATGAAAGAGTCTCAGTCATTTGCTAAAAAGATTCCAGCTGGCATTAGAGGCAAATTGCGGTGAAAATGACCACTGAAAATCACGGATAACACCATGCGTATGTTTCAAGGGTATGAAATAATGATATGCTCGACATAACTAGACACAAATTGGTTTGACTAATACATTTTCAATTCCAACATGATGGTTTTGCAATAACAATTGGCTTCACACGATTCAGAACTTCTTGTTAAACGCTGGTAGAAGTGGCAAAGGAGCCGTGACAATGGCCACTGATAATCAGTGATGACGCCAAATTCACGCATCAATGAAATAATCGATTTGCCTGATGCAGGCCAACGCCCAAATTGTTTTGCAATTACAATTGTCTTCATACGAAATTAATCAGAACTTCTCATAATTTTGATATGCTTGTCATAATCCCTGGAAAACTTACCGCAGAAGGCACATGTCTTTACAAAACTCAGGACTATTTAATGGATTCATTACTCAGTACAAAAAGTATTGAGTGTGATGTAAAGTGGTATCTGATGCAGTGTTAACATTCATGCCCATATGAAGACACGTACTTATATGTGTATGTGTGTGAGGGTACATGTAAAAGTGTGATGTAATGTCGGTTATTCCAGACCTTGACACTGTATACTGTTCATGCCATCTTTCTTTACGCTTCAGGCTGTGAAACAACGAACACGGACTTTACACATATTTTAGCTTGGAATCAAACCACTGACATTCTGCTCTCCAGACGAGGCCTCATCATCAAACCAATGAGGAGGTGATTAACTCATAGACTGTATCCTCACGGAGGGGAGTTTCTTGTATAATGGGAGACGACAATGATCTCTTCTCTCAAGTTTCCCAATATAGACCAAGTTAAGGAATATCATAGTATAAGTCATAGGAGCTGACTAATACATACTGTTATAGCATGATCCTAATCGTAAAGCTCAGAAGATACATTAAAACATAAAGCCTAGACATATTATAATGTTGCGAATTTTGGCGGTAGGCGACGAAGGCCATATTCACTCACCTGCCAAA